CGGTGTCCTTTTTTGCCGCGTTTCTTGAAACTAGGAAACGTTGACCTACTAAAATTTCTTCTAAAAGAGATACTGTTCAACAGTGGAAGTCACTCTATACCGGAGGACGAAAAAGCATGTCAGAACTTTCCCAAAAAGTGACGTCATGCCTATTGGGTTCTTGCAAAGTTCCTGTTTTCATATGAATTCCTCAAGTAGAATATTTGTAGCAATAATACTGAACCACGCGTTTTCTTCAAAAAAAAAAAAGAAGCTGTCTTATTATTGGAAATGTTTTCTAGCTTAACGGATGGATAATGACCGATCGCGGCATAACAGTGTGAAATAAACTGAGAAATGCAGATCTGGAGGATGATGGCTCTAGACATGGTCGGTCTGCCTCCGATACTCAGATTTTTGCTGGAACTGTACTCTTTCTCTGATATGGAAGCAAGTAATTAAGCAAGAGTTAAATAAGTCACTAGTATCCAAAATGCGCTGAAATACGTATGGCTCAGATTTACTTACCTATTTGGTCGCTGGCTGATGCCATCTCCTCGAATGGTAACGAAATGTGTGATTAGATTGCTAAGCCAATAACCGAACGCCAACGATGCGGAAGCTGCATATATATCTACATAAAGCTTCTTCCACACACAGCTATTGAGGATAACGACCGATATGAAAGAACGTGTATTCTACTTAAGTCGTCTAGAACAAGTAACCCAATATCAGTCTGGTCACTTTCTCCACACTCTTTAAGATTGAATTTATAAATATGACGAAGCATTCAGGGAGAAACAGACGAAAGGCACGTACTGCTTTTAACACTTCCTTTGTTAGTTAGCTGTGGTTTTTGAGATGGATTGTTCTCAAATTCTGCAGAACGGTTGAGTTCCTCTTTGGTTCGTATTCAAACTGCAACTGCAACAAAGGTTTTCCAGGATGAATTTGTAGCATACTTAAACCCGGCTGTGTGTTCGCCTTTTATTGCATGTAGTCACACAGTCTACCAAACGAAACAAAGAGTATATTATGTCACCAATACGTTTCGGCACGCTTCGGTTCACTTTGGTGATGACCGTTCTATGCGAACTGACAATTATCCTCATATTTCCGTCCGTGAGTGGTCTAATGGAGGGCATTCAAGGTGAAACTGAAGCGCCTTGTTTCTTTTAACCATCATTTACCAACTGCATGCACTGGTGAGGTGATTGGGGATCACTGACAGGGGGAACACTGTCAACATTCATTTAAAGCTGCTTAATGTAAGCATCTTATTCTAGCTTACCTGGCCATGTGAATGTCTCTTGAGATGCTCCCAATGGTAATGAATGCAATCATACACCAGTCTATATCTTCGTTATGATACATTTTGTTAGAAGTGCGCCACTCCAAACACCCTGCAATCACATCTGCACCAAATCCGGTTGTGTAAGTTTGGAGAAAAAACAAGTGGCACGATATGCCAGGCTATTTGTTTTTTGTCGCTGCCAGTTCATATATATTTTGTATAGTCTGCAATGTATTGCACTGAGTGCAATTTATTCTATCGTGGTTTATTGTAATCACTTGCTTGGATCCACTTTCTGGGCTTTATATGCAGACGAAAATCCTGACATCCTGAGTTACAGGCTATTTCTTTTGTTTTCAATGCTTTCTGCCATTTAGTTTGTGTGCACTGCACTACATTTCATCGCACTGTATCACAGTGCAGTAGTTCGCCGGATTCGGTATGATCGAATTTATATCTGTTTGCACTGAAGCATGTACCGATAGTCCCTCTAGGCAATCTAGACAAGCCGGGTGCCAAATCTACAGTGAGGCTGAAGGTGATTGATTCTCTTTGCAGACCAATCAGTATGACTAGCCAGGCATACATGTGTGCTCTGGTGCACCCCACAAGCAATGCGGGCAACCAGACTAGGTTTTGCGCGCACCAGGTACCTGAACGTATCAGTTGTTCACAGTTGGCAGTTATGGACCACCACACGGCCATCATAATGGTTCTAGAACTGTTCCCTACTTTTCACCTTCCGGTTTCACTACCTGAGGGTTTGAGACGTCCACATAAGTGCACATGCGGCTCAGCGCACACAAAAATGCTTGAAGATTCCTTATCGCTTAACATTTCGATCACCATGGACTACCTTTGTCAGGGGCAAAGTGTTCGTTGGCGTATTTCGATGCCATGCGCCAATCCGGAGACAAAAGCCAAATCGCTATATCAGATAAAAACACTTACACCAGTATCTCTCCTCACAATGGCACAGGTTCGATATGACTCCTGTACCAGATTCAATCATGCACTGTTAGAGGGACACTGATATAAGTGCACATGCGGCTCAGCGCACACAACAATGCTTTAAGATTTCTTATGGCTCAACATTTCGATCACCATAGATGACCTTTGTCAGGGGCAGTTTTCGTTGGCGTATTTCGATGCCATACACCGATCCGGAGACAAGAGTCAAATCGTTATATCAGATAAAAACACTTACACACCAGTATCTCTCCTCACAATAGCACATGTTCGATATAACTCCTGTACCAGATTCGATCACGCACTGTTAGAGGGACACTGAGATGGGTAGAGTACCACCGCTCGAGCCTGAAGCAGCCTTATTTGGCTTGCCACTAAAAGCCTTTGGCGGGTTATGTGTTTGTGTTCATTACCATCTCCCAAGCTCTTAGGGGACTTAAATGACTCATCAATTATTTCTTCTGATTTAGGCTTCCATGCTGCCTTTTTACTTGTTTGTACTTATTGCATTCGATGTGCATTGTACTATATGCTGTAATGGGGTACTGTGTTGCACCTCAGTGTATCCTACTGTATTGCATTATATTTTGTTTCATTAGTCTGAATTTGTTGTTATATGTGCTACATATATACGTGCACGAGTGACCTCCACTAACACTGGTCACTTCAGAGTAATAAGCCTACAGCGGCGTTCGATGTGCATCTCGCTGACCATGGATGAACCACGGGTAAAACCAGCTTCATGAAGAAGTTGAATGAGCACATAAAAAGCTACTTACAGCTTCCAGAGCATACCCATTTCTTCTCCATGCAATCATGGATCTTTTTTTGGATAAATACGGGCGAATTATTATGTAGCGGAATTGACGTTACGTTATATTCTACCTTTAAAGTACGGAGTTGGCTTTCATTATTGTACGAGGGGTAATGAGTATGTATTATCTGGCTCTACAAGACTATGGAAGCTAGTGAGGTAGTCATGATCTCATACTTGTCATTGCTTCTGTACGTTTTTCATAATGTGCACACAGGTGATCAAACAAATTCTTCATCCATGCTATTCAACCCTACAACGATGGACGGCATGGGACGATATATCGATATAAAGCCCAATACCCCTTGTACTATTTGTTGAATTACTTTGCAGCACCTGATTGATGCCGGACTGAACAGTACATGAGTGACACGCATATTGCAATAAACTTGAGTACCGTCCACAAAAAAATGACCGCATTTGCTTACCAGTTTTGATGCTCCTTCACAAATTCTGATCCCTTGGCTTTCGAATAGGTATGCTACCACACACGCACACACAATCGCACGCCGCCCACCTTTTTTTAACTCATGGTACAGTTCTTATTCGAGGGAACGCATTCAGTTACAAATAAAATTAAAAGTTAGCAGAAAACTCAGATGATTCGCAGTTGATGCTCTCCTTTATATATTCTTCATTTGAGTGTGTTGCACAAATCTAGCTCAGATTTCAGTTAAAACTCGATTCAAGACTTCACAATTTATTTTGCTGACACTGATTACTACTCACAAAGTTGCTGAAAACCCTTCGACAAAACGCTACCGGTCTCGCCGCTTACCATGTAGGCACAGTCCCCGAGTTTTCATCAAACTTATGTACACGCTACCGGTCTCGCCGCTTATCATGTAGGCACAGTCCCCAAGTTTTCATCAAACTTATGTTCTACTTGGACCCAGTTATCAAGAGGTTGATAAAGTGCCCTGATTTGCAAGTTACATTGGAGCCAACGAGGAAGCCAAACGAATGCCCCTTATAGGCTATTTTCAACTGCACAAAGACCGCATGATATTCCAATTGGTACTAGTGAACCGTCGAACAGTTTCTAGCAACATTTATTCCTACAGCGCAACCATTCTAAAACTTCCCCCGTTGCGACGCTTCCCCACCTAAATGCAGTACCCATCTGCGTCACAAAGATAAGTTAATCACTCCTTGAAAAATAAAATAGAGCAGCGGTAACCAGCATATCAGACAACCGTTTCAGGACATGAAGTTGCATTCAATGCATCTAGCATTGTGAGTGTGTGACGTAAAATATACCGCTGAAAACAGCAGTATGAGGGTCGATGTATTAATTGTTAAAATTCTTTCAAACAGTACTGTCATTTCCTTGAGAGAGTTCAAATGTCATTGTGAAGGCAGTCGAGTTATCTTGTTGAAGACCGCTGATCCATAGTATGTTGTCCATTACCTGTTAAGTGAAGCGAATGACATGCGTATTCTAGGTCACTCTTAGTGACCACTAGTAATTCATCTGTGATCCTGTCCAAAAATGATTTGACTTTTATAGCAGGCTGCACATTATTTGACATTGCTTCGTTTTTGTTAGTGTTAGAAAGAAAACAACTTGATGTTGGTTGTTTGCCAATCGACTGAATGCTCAAAGAATCAATCGATTGATTCTTTTTACTCGCAACTTCGTTAGTGTTAGAAAGAAAACAACTTAATGTTGGTTGTTTGCCAATCGATTGATTCTTTTTACTCGCAACTTGCGTACAACATCCAACACTTCTAGTTACATGGGTGTATCAACAACATGTTTAGTAAAAAGACTAAAAAATGACCTTTGATCTCATTACTGTATGGAGTTACATCAGTTTCGTAGTATACAAGCACAAAACATACTTTGGTCTGCGTGGCCGTAGGAGTGGAATCTAATTCAGGTGTGTTCAAAAGTCTGGATAACAAGTTCAGACAGATTGTAAAAAATTGACGAGCTTCCTTTTAATGTGAGTCTGAAACGGTGCTATTGGGTGTCATTTGTTCGAGCCCACCAGCTTCCAGTTCAGACATTATACGCAGTACGAGCTCCTCACGGAACGGCTTCGCAACGACCTGAACTCCTAAAGGTAATCCATTAGTATCTGCCTGCATGAGCATCAGTTGCTCATGGTATGCGTCACCGGACTTCTTGAATTGTTCGGCCGCCTCTTTTGCCTGATCTAGATCTTCCGCTGTGACTTTCCCCATTGGAACCGCTCCAGCTGGATAGTCAACCACATTGAAGAGAAGAGTATATATAACTGATGGAGTGATGAAGTGGGGTGGAGTTGCAACATTCTGAGCCGGATAAGCCCACCCTGGACAAATGAGGGCATCAAGATCTCCTGCTTCTTTCCAGGCCTTTGCGAACTCTCTCCCATATTTTTCCCAGTGCTGCAGATGCCACGTCAGGTCAGCGACCTTACGAAATCTTCGGGCTAATTTGCAAATTGCAGCTGGCTTTCCTATAAACTTCCTCAAAAGGGTATCAGCAACGGAAGTCAGAGTATACGGCACAGCAACTATTTGTTTGATGGATTTCGAAGCTTCATTCAGCTGTTCATCTTTGAGGGCATCAACTAAGGCTTGGCCTCCATCAGTGCCACACGATCTTATTCCCAGCTCCAGTGCCCATAAAGGCTTTGGTGGAGAGAATGGTACCAAGTGATGTCCACGCTCACTCAGTATCCGCACAGCTTGTCTAACCACTCTACGAACGGAAGGAACGGTTTGAATTATATCGGGATCATCAATAGTATCATAGTAACCAATTACGAGATTCGGCTTATCAGTTCCAGTGTACATGGATTCATTAAATGGTAATACAGGGAGCGTTGGATCCAATTCATACATGCTTGGAGACAAAAGCGTGCGCATAACTTTGGCAAGGTCATCTACACGCTTCCCCATTGGACCAATACAGATTTTAATTGCAACTGTTGTCTGCGGTGTTATGGCTTTCAAACCGACAGTGCTTATCCGCCCTGCAGTTGGCTTTAAACCGGTTAGTCCACAAAGTGTGCTTGGAATACGGATACTTCCAGCAATATCGCTTCCGATTCCCACCGGTGATCCATTTTGAGCCAACAATACGGCCTCACCATTTGAGCTCCCCCCTGGCTCATGTTTGTCCGAATAAGGATTATTCATATCCCCGAAGACAGGATTGAACCCACTTGTTGTGAAGGCTAGCTGGGACGTCGCTGTCAGTACAAAAGGAACTGCACCAGCACGTTTGAGCACCTGAACCACACCACAGGTTGCAGTATTTCCACAGCCCGAATGTTGCGTCGTATCCACGAACGCAGCACAATTCTTTGATGCTGATGGGAATGCCAAACAACTCTGACTTTTCCGCCGGAGGGTTTTCGGTCAATTGCGAGGCTTGTTGTTTGGCTTCCTGGATGAATTCACATATACCAGAATTACCCTTCTCGTATAGTTGCACAGCTTTTAGTTGAAATGCATGAAGAAGTTCCAAGGGAGTAATCGCTTTATTCTTGATTTTCGCTTGAAGGTCAGTAAGGGAACACTCTGTCAAACGAATGAGCTTATCTGTCGATTTGCCCTTCTCAGGAATACCGAGTTTGACAGCCTCCATGCGTTCTCGGAGTTCTGCCTGTTTCAAACGCTTTATCTTTTCTATTGTTTTCATTCAGGGCACAGATATGTAGGAGGCAAGACCTAAAAACCAGAAGAATTAAAACCAGTGGGTTACTGACGAATTCGGCATATCAGAACTTATCCAGTCAGTCACTGAAGTTTTCTTTTTTAGACAACTCCACAGCAGTCCACAAAAGTGGACGTATTCTCCCCACGAGAGGACGCATATCGAAGAGATCGTTCCTTAGGGGGCTTTCTGATGACAATATCTCAGTATGTTGACTCCATGATAAAGGCACTCACCAAACTTCATTTCCCATAGTACAATGAGTTTTAAAGGAATTCTAGGTTCTCCGAAAACTTGCCCCCCCCTGAGGTCAAGCAATGGTGATTGTAGCTCCTTAATTTAGAGTGGCCCGAAGGCAGATAAAATCTACTGTATATTTGGTTCGAGTGAATCAATTTATTACCGAATAACTTTTACACATGCCTACGCACAACTCTTTTGGGTGAAAGGGTGAATAAATAATTTATTTTGCTGACCTTTTGTGTTTGAAAATGACTTACAAAACTAACTAAACAACCCTAAGAGGAAGCAAAGATATCAAACTTCCATGAATCAAAAAGTCGTTGAAATGACCGCAAGATTTCTACGACAACATCATACGGCTGTTGCCTACAAGCCTGAGAACTCGCGATGGACACCGTTAAAATCAAGAGGAAAATAGAATTTAATGTAAGATAACAGTGTAGTATACATGATTAAATGCAATAACTGCGAAAAACGACACGTGAGATAAAAGGGAAGGAGACTACCCAGCTGAATTTTTGAACACAACCTTGCTCCCTAGAGATACAAATAATTTTTTCTCGTCTTCGTTCACGAAGATCGGAATGATCCGAGCTCTGGCGAAATTAGCAGAATGAACGTGAAATTACGGAAGCGTTTTACTCATCAGAAAACGTCATTAACCTACTGAAAGTGACTCAATAACCATAATAGATCTGGAAGCTCAACGAATTTGCGCCACCTCATTCCCAAGAACTTACTGGATACAAAACGGTTGGGAAGTGCCCATCGGACGCTAGTATTATGTTGAGACGCATTAATCAAATTCAGCAATCATCTTCATTGATGATGATGATGATGATCAAGACGGTTCGGGCACTTTCAACGTGGTTTGCGCACAAAAGGCTGAAGATCTTCTGACTACGCCAAGAAACTCACTATCCATAAATCGGGCCTATCTAGTTTAACTGATATTGGAAGAGTTTTACGGAATTATTGAACTTTTGATCAGGAAATCAAACAGGTAATGGATTGGTTTCTGTCCTACTGTATCATTCTACTAGTCCCAATTTCTGTCGACAGTTCAATTTCCAAAAACGGGAAAGCAGCACCTGCAGTGCGTTTCAAGCACGCACACCTATGCTTGCGATCCGTTCAATGGGTCATTACACCCTTTCCACTTTAAAATTCTTTCGAAGTCATATTAAACCTTTCTAGGACTAGTTAGAGGTGTACTGGAGACAATCTTCAAGTGCATCAAAATCATTTCTGGTATCCCGATAGCCATTTTGTCCCTCGGCGTGAAATTAGGGTGCCACACGAGGAGAAAAGCTTCGCGCGGGCGTAACACCGGGACAACGAACGGATGCGTTACGCAAACTTACAACACACACCAACCTTCTAATAGAAATGTGACTCTCGAGTGACCCTATTCATCACTTTCAAGTTGGCTGGTGTGTGCGTATCGCCAGCTGGCTGAGGGTGGGACCTGCTGCAGTTGTCACTTGAGTGTGATCGAATAAATAATCTAAACATGGTAGATGACCGAGAAACATGGTTACTTTTGGTATCATAGTGAACAAGTCAAGTGTAATACTCGAGTGGCTTGAATAGTCCAGTAAAGCAGACTTCGTGTGGCTAAAGGCGAAAAAACTGGTTGTCAGTTCGATCAGCTACCAACTGACAGTGACAAGGCCAGGGAGGAACATGTGCATTTTGCTGAGTCTATTTCACACTCTTGTTTATAGTCTGAAAATAAGTGGAAGCGTTTCAGTTTTACAGGCCATATTAGCTTGGGATTCCGCAGTTGCACCCAAACGAAGGGGCCGTGCGATTTACAATTTGTAACAGTATTTTTTGATGAAAACAGCCCAAGTAGGGTTTGGCTACGCTGCAATGAAGGCAGTTCTTGAGGATGAGCTCACTTTATCTGTAATCATCTTTGCCAACTGCCGCGTGAGAACTGCATTTAGCTGGATCCATTGCATGTCCATCAATTCGTTTTGTACTTTATTGAAACCAGTTAGGCTAACTAATAGGAAAATAAGACACTAAGTAAACATTTGTACAACTGTTTGTGAATAGGAATGAGAAAGCCGGACAAGCATACACCAGCAACCACTTAGTTGAAAAGCCCTGTACTTCAATGGAACAAGTGAAATTACTGTACGCGTCTCTGTACTTACAGACAGCATACAAACGTTGGAGAGAGTCAGCCCACAAACTACACATCAGTTTCGCTCTGACCTTTTAACTGGCAACGGTCAGCTGATCGAAAGACCACTTTTTCGCGTTTAAACTGATAGAGTCATTTTGATGTCCGAACTGCGTTTGTCCCACTATGCTATCTACGGTACCGTTGCACGGTTCCAAGCAAAAAGTTTTGTTGACAAATATACTAAGGAATTGCACAAGTTACTCGGCTCCATGACAAATTAGCAGGCTGGAGTTAGTTTTTTGCTACAAGATTCATGTCACGAGCCGTTTGCATGTGAAATATCGACTATCTTGTGATAATCAGCTAATCCACAGCGATTCTAGATCCGGTGTAATCCATCGTGAACGGTGTTTACGGATGACAGTCAACCGAATGTATGTGGGGCAGAAGGGCTATGGCTGTGTCCCGAAATATGTATTTACGAGTAGTTTCTGTCAGCTAACACTGACCTGACCGGTTGGTGTGGTTGCCATTGCGAGTAATAAGCTGACGGCGTGGGTTGATCTCTAAAGTCAAGGCTTGGTGCTTCTACACCAATACGGGAAGAGCAATGGTCGAAAAATTTGCAGTCTTCGAAGTTACTGAGTATCTCGTGGACGAAAGCGGTACCGTATTTTGTGTGCCCTTGTTCGTATCCAATGTCCTCTGTCAGCTTCACCTGTTTATATTGTACAACAGTTTCAACAGCCAAAATTGTATCCAGAGTTTGCGCATTTGCCCTCAGAAATCTAGTGATTGTTCCATATCAGCCGACGCCGACACCCACCTAATGGTACAGAGCGCCTATGCTGCATGTTGGGGAATACTTTCACATCTATGAAGATGGTAGTCGAGTGTCTACTGAGTTTGTTGAGATCCAGGATGCATATCTGTTCTGTTTTTGAACTTTTTCTCTCGGTCAAATTGGATGAATTAGTGCATCTTCGTTTCACTTATCCCAATTATTCTTGCGGTTCAGCATCCTTGTTTCTATCGCCATTTCTGTATGGCGCNCGCGTTCCAATGGCGCATGGTTTGGCCCGTTACAATTTGTTGTTGATACGTGGGCATATTTTGTTGTTTCATAACTAATAACTCAGTGGGTTTTCCGGACCTCAATCAATCTTATGCCTTTATATAGCTTTTAACTGGCCAGTACCACTGGAGACTTGCGACAGAAAGTCATTTCACTTTTAGTTTTCGAACCAATGTATTTCGATTGAAAACCGATATGGTCATTAGAACCCTACTTTTTTTCGAACTTGGTTAGTCCAGATGGATTTTCGTTACAGCCCGTGAGGTTCGCGAGGTCAAGGTAACACCATATGGCTGTCGGAGCTGCTTACAGTTAAAAGTGACGGAACCTAAGGCAGAGACAGAGTTCTGAGCTTTCTATGAAAGCAACGGTATGCGGTGCGGCCTTCTTCGTTGATGAGCTTTCCTTGTCCAGTACGGTCCGTATGTAGCGTGAGAAAGTGGGAATGGGCATACCAGTAAATTCCGCAAAACATCACGTCTGGATGAGCTAAATTTTCGCTGTTATTTGATGTTCTGAATGTACTTGAAAGGGCACGGAATGTAAATTACTACTATCAACAGAGCGCTCATATACGCTGATACTACTTACATACAGTGCACATGATGTTCGGTCGCAACTGGTTACCGGTTTTTTTAACTAGCCCTGAAAACCTTGGCTGTATCCATTCATTCTACTCCCTTCGGGTATCATCACAACTAGGAAATGAAAGTGTGTTACGGCTGAATAATAGTTATTATTAGTTTGTTTGTATTTGAACAATGCAATGGTATATCATGCCCAAGATTAGTTCGATTTTTCTTCGAATACCATCAACACAGAATTAAACGGCAAGTCAGTCACTTCGTGTTAGTTTATACCGTCGCGTCGGTTTGTGGCTCTTTTTGATGGGTGAATTCATCAGTAGAACAACGAAATTTTCTATACCTATGCTCGAATTGCTAATCAGGCACGAAACACGATGTAGGGAATTTGCGAAGCTTACATTAGGTGTTGGAGGGCTTTCATCAGTCAGGTGAGTAGCCTCACAATAAGGAAAGCGGACATCCGGTTGCAAAAACATACTACTAATGGCAATCAAATTTCGGCCAGAAATTTGAGCTATTCACTTGTAAAGATAACTCATTGTCTGGTGCCGCAACTGGAATTTTTCCTAATCAAATTGCATGGTGGCCAGCGCTTTCACCCTGGGAGTAAACGTAATATTTCCTTTGATCTTATAACAGCCTACGTCCCGGACTTTATGGACCATCCTCTGGCTAACATTCTGAGATAAATCAAATGGTGCTAAAACCGCAAACATATTGAGAGCTCTTGGTTAAACGTAATGCATTACTCATAAGGTTGCTGCAAACTCTTCGGCAGCCCGCGACCTGTTTCGCCTTTCTTGAAGCTCATCGCGTAAGCGCAGTCTCCGAATTCCTTATGTTTTTCTTGAACTAAATTACACGAAATTTGACTTATACCTTCATCTGTATACCAGTTTGGTTTTGACAGAAGACTCACCCGGCACCCAACTGAATCTCTCGT